AATTCATAGATATAAAGACAGATGGAGACTGCAGTACAATACTAGTATGGGTTTTCAACATTCCACTCTCAGTAATGGCCAGATCATCCAAACAGGAAATCAACAATTAAACATCAAAGTGGCCAGGCGCGGTGGCTCAAGCCTGTAATCCCAGCACTGTGGGAGGCCGAGGCGGGTGGATCACGAGGTCAAGAGATCGAGACCATCCTGGTCAACATGGTGAAACCCCGTCTCTACTAAAAATACAAAAAAAATTAGCTGGGCATGGTGGCGCGTGCCTGTAATCCCAGCTATTCAGGAGGCTGAGGCAGGAGAATTGCCTGAACCTAGGAGGCGGAGGTTGCGGTGAGCCGAGATCGTGCCATTGCACTCCAGCCTGGGTAACAAGAGTGAAACTCTGTCTCAAAAAAAAAAAAAAATACATCAAAGTTAAACTACACTCTAGACTGCTTGGACCTCACTGACATTCACAGAACATTTCATCCAACTGCTGCAGAATACAAATTCTTCTCATAAGCATATGAAACACTCTCCAGGATAAACAATACATTAGGCCACAAAGCAAGTGTCAGTAAATTCAAAAAAGTAGAAATCACATGAAGTATATTTTATTCCACAATGGAATAAAACTGGAAATCAATGACGGGACAAACTTTTGGAAACTATACAAACCCATGGAAAATAAACAACATGCCCCTGAATAATCAATGGGTCAATAAAGATATTAAAAAGAAAAAATTTAAATTTCTTGAAAAACATACACAACATACTAAAATCAATGACATACATCAAAAGTACTGCTAAGAGAGAAGTTTATAGCAATAAACACCTACAACAAAAAAGTAGAAAGATTTCAACAAAACAGAAAACCTAATGAGGTACTTCTCAAAGCTAGGAAAGTGAAAGCAAGCCAAACCTAAAATTGGTAGAAGAAAAGAAATAATAGAGATCAAAGCAGAAACAAATGAAGCTGAAACTAAAATAAATACAAAAGATAAATCTTTAGCTAGACCAACTAAAAAGAGAGACAGAAGACCCCAAAAAAATCAGAAATGAAAAAGGAGACATAACAATTGATACCACAGAAATACAAAAGATCATTAAAGTCTATTGCAAACAACTATACGCCAACAAATTGGAAAATCTAAGAGAAATAAATAAATTCCTGGAGACATACAACTTACCAAGATTGAACCATGAAGAAATTAGGAACAAGATTGAAGCAATAAAAAAAAGTCTCCCATCAGAGAAAAGCTCATAACATAGGGAGACCCTGATCTCTGCCAAAAAATTAAAAATCAGCCAGATGTGGTGGTGTGTGCCTGTGGTCTCAGCTGTTTGGAAGGTTGAGGTAAAAGGATTGCTTGAGCCAGGAGGTCAAGTAAGCAGTGAGCTGGGATTCTGCCACTGGACCCCAGTCCGGGAAACAAAGCAAGATCTTGTCTCAAAAAATAAAATAAATAAATAAATAAATTTTTAAAAAGAAAAGAAAAAGTAAAGAAAAGCCAGTAGCTGATGAAAAAAATCCCACCAAATAACCCAATTGAAAAGTTGGAAAAATATCTGAATCGACATTTCCCAAAAGAAGACATACAAATAGCCAACAGGTGGCAGGAATGTAAATTAGTTCAACCTTATGGATATTTCTCAAAAAACTAAAAGAACTACACATATATACACATATATAATTATACATATATATAGTTTTTATATATATTAGTTATATATATATATAGCTTTATATAGTTATATATAGTTTTATATATATATATAAAACACCTGTACCTATATGTTAATCACAGCACTATCCACAATAGCAAAGTCATGGAACCATCAATAAATGCCCATCAATAGGTGACTACATAAAGAAAACTATGGAATACTATTTATCCATAAAGAAGAATAAAATCACATCCTTCACAGTAACATAAATGGAGTTGGAGGCCATTATCCTAAATGAACTAACTCAGACACAGAAAACCAAATACTGCATTAAGTGAGAGGTAAACAATGGGTACTCATGGACATAACGATGGAAATAACTGTCACTGGGGACAAAAGCGGGAAAGGTGGGAGGGGGCAAGGGTTGAAAATTAACTGTTGGGTACAGTGTTCACTATTTTGCCATTGGGTACACTAGGAACCCTACTCTCAACAGTATGCAATATATCTATGCAACAAACAAGCACATGTACCCCCACAATCTAAAATAAAGTAAAATAAAAATAAGCAATTTGGCTAAATTATTGCAATTACATCGTAGTTGTGAGAAGGGCCCCTTAAGAACAAGAAATGAGTTCATTGCTCCACTGGAAAAAGAAATTCAGGGAAGTTTCTTGTGGAAGTTCACATCTGACCTAGAGAAAATGACAAATAAAAATTATATGGATGAGGTAGATGAAGGGGAATGAAATTCTTAGCAGAGAGAACAACGTAAGTGAAATAGAAGAGGTTAAAAAACAAACATATAGCTAACAAGTATATGAAAAAGTGTTCAACATCACTAATCATTAAGGAAATACATACCAAAACCACATCAAGATTTCTTTCCCCTAGTTAAAATGGCTTTTATCTAAAAAACAAACAATTAAATGCTGGTGAGGACAGAGAAAGGGGAATGTGCATACACTGCTGACAGAAATGTAAATTAGTGTTGCTGCTATGAAAAATAGTATGGAGGTTCCTCAAAAAACTAAAAATGCCACTATCATATGATCCACCAGTCCTACTGCAGGGCATCTATCCAAAGAAAGAAAATACATATATCTAAGAGATATTTATACTCCTATGTTTACTGCAGAGCTATTCACAATAGCCAAGATATGGATCAACCTAAGTGTCCATCAGCAGATGAATGGATAAAGAAAATGTGATACATATACACAATGGAATATTATTCAGCCAAAAAGAAATGAAATCCTGGCATTTGTAGCAACATGGATAAAGAATCATGATGCTAAATGAAATAAACCAGGCACAGAAAGACAAATACCACATATTCTCCCACTCATATGTCTGAGCAAAAACAGTTGATCTCATAGACGTGAAGAGCTGATTGATGGTTACTAGAGGATAGGAAGGGTTTGGGGGAGGAAGGAGATGAATAGAAGTTGGTTAATTGGTACAAAAATACAGTTAGATTGAAGAAATAAAGTCTAGTGTATGATAGTTCAGTAGGGTGACTATAGTTAATATGTGTTGCATAGTTCAAAATAGCTAGAAGATAAGAATTGGAACATTTCCAACATGAAGTAAAGATAAATGTTTGGGCCAGGCGCGATGGCTTACGCCTGTAATTCCAGCACTTTGGGAGGCCGAGGTGGGCAGATCCCTGAGGTTGGGAGTTCAAGACAAGCCTGATCAACACGGAGAAACCCCGTTTCTACTAAAATTACAAAATTTGCCAGGTGTGATGGTGCATGCCTGTAATCCCAACTACTCGGGAGGCTGAGGCAATAGAATCACTTGAACTCAGTGGGCAGAAGTTGCAGCGAGCTGAGATTGTGCCATTGCACTTGAGGCTGATCAACAAGAGCTAAACTCTGTCTCAAAAACAAACAAAAGATAAATGTTTGGGGTGATGGCTAACCCAACTACCCTGATTTAATCATTACACATTGCATGCAAGTATCAAAATATCACATGTACCCCCAAAATATGTACAACTATTAAGTACCAATAAAAAAAAGAAAGAAAAAATCACAATTATCCAGAATCTGTGAATTTGCAGTGGTTAAAATTAGCTTGTTTTGAATATTTTTCAAACTTTATTAGGAGAACCAAAGCCTACTAGAAGGCTAGAGGAGAGGTGGTCCATAATTGAAATGTGGTAAGATGAACTCTAAAGAGTTAGGTAGTAAGAGCTTCTTCAGAGTACAACACAGTTAAAATTTCTGATGAAGAGATCCAAATAGATAATTAGGCAAGTGAGGTCACAGAGACTAGAGGAATTCAAAGGGCAGATGAATTAATAAAAACGGAAGACAGGTTAAGAAAGAATGACGGACACAGAAAATTGTAATTGAAGAAAATATCACACTGCACCTAGACCAGTTTACTGAACATATTGGATTTTGAAAACTCTATAAAGCAGCTGGGCATGGTGGCTCACACCTATAATCCCAGCACTCTGGGAGGCCAGGGCCAGTGGGTCATCTGAGGTTAGGAGTTTGAGACCAGCCTGGCCAACATGGCAAAACCCCTATCTCTATGAAAAAAAAAAAAAAAAAAATTAGCTGAGCATGGTGGTGGGCTCCTGTAATCCCAGCTACTCGGGAGACTGAGGTAAAAGAATCTCTTGAACCCAGGAGGTGGAGGTTGTAATGAACTGAGATCGTGCCATTCCACTTCAGCCTGGGTGAAAAGAGCAAGACTCCGTCTCAAAAAAAAAAAAAAAAAAAAAAAAAGTCAACAACAACAAAAACCCAAAACCAAAAAACACTTACATAAAACAAACTGACATTTAAAAATTTTCCAAATTTTTAGTCAACAGATGTGAGTTTAGTGTTGAACCAACTGCTTCCAAACAAATCACTTAACCTCTGTGAATCTGTAAAATTAAGAGTAGAAATAATCCTTTAAGACCTAACTACTTCATAAAGAGTTATGAGGTTTACATGCGATGAGTAGAAAAGCTTTGAAAACTACAAAAAATATATAATTATACAAATATTGTGCATAGTGATTTTTATTTTTAATGCCCACTTACTATAGATTTATTTTATCATAAAGTTAGTATAGCAATAATTATTTTAGAAACTGAACTGTTTAACTTTTATCTCCTAGCCTGTTAGCTGATTTGCTACAAGGATTATAATAGGCCAAACCAAAAGAGTTTTAAGAAGTAAAGAGGATTTTCTTTGTTTAGAAATTAGGTTTTTATTTTAAATATTTTAATTATTGTATTATTTATTATATATTTAGATCAAAGGCCATAATACAAATCTATACTAAAAGTATTTTTTTTAATTCAAAGAACAAATGAGAACAAAGTTTCTTACCAAAATTTGTCTTGTGATTTGAGTTGTGATTTCCTTGGCATCCAAGACAATTGATGGTGGAAGTGATGACACCTCTGCAGCTTTTAATCCTAAAATTATTTGTTTTAAATTGGCTTCAATATTGTTACTGCTGGTATCTTTATGCTTGTTTTAACTAGTATTAACCTTTTATTCACAGATTTAAACTTCCCTTCTAGAGGCATTTCTGAACTGCCCCATAATTCTTGGAATTAAGCTTTCTAAAATTCTGGATGACAACTTACCAATTAATAGATTTAATTACTTGTCCAAGACATATAAGGCAAATTAGAATATCAGTTAACTCTTAATATATCTCTAAGATATCCGGAATAAAAAAGATAGTTCGAAAATAATAACATTGAAATTCCAATTGCAAATATAGTTGATTAACAAAAGGTCAAAAGGCATATGAGTTTTGCAGAGGAAGATAAATATCTAGTCACAGCGGTAACACTACAGCTAAACATTCACCCACCCAAATCAATGAGACAGAAATTTCTCAGAAGATATAACAGTAGGTGAGTACTCTATATGCAAATTCAAAGTATCAATTATATTCTCGTGTTTTTAGAGCTTAATTTTATTGTATAAATGCCATATAGGCTTTTTACTATATGCCAATAGTTTACTATATTTATTGCTTTAGAAGTAATAGAAGCAATATCAAAATTTATTGAGATGTTGGTAATTGCTAGGCACTGGGCAACACAGCTCACATTTGATAATTCATTGAATTCTAGTAATTCTACAATATGGCAAATTATTCTCATGTCATAGATCATAGAATTGAAGCTTATAAAGTTTAAACATCTGATATAAATAAGTTGTCCATCTGATTTTCCATTTTAAATAGCAAAACAAATATTTTTTTTTCCCCTCAAAGGGTCATATCCATAGCTAAAATAATTTTTTTTTTTTTTTTTTTTTAGACAGAGTTTCGCTCTTGTTACCCAGGCTGGAGTGCAATGGCACGATCTCGGCTCACCGCAACCTCCGCCTCCTGGGTTCAGGCAATTCTCCTGCCTCAACTTCCTGAGTAGCTAGGATTACAGGCACGTGCCACCATGCCCAGCTAATTTTTTGTATTTTTAGTAGAGACGGGGTTTCACCGTGTTGACCAGGATGGTCTCGATCTCTTGACCTCGTGATCCACCCGCCTCGGCCTCCCAAAGTGCTGGGATTACAGGCTTGAGCCACCGCGCCCGGCTCTAAAATAATTTTTGAAACTTACATGTACAGATTAATTGAAAAGTCTCCGAATGTGTGAGATTTAATGATTTAGACAGAAAGTATCTAATCAAGTTTAAAACTATCTAGCTGGGCATGGTGGCACAAGCCTGTAGTCCCAGCTACTCGGGAGATGGAGGCAGGAGACTCACTTGAGCTCAGGAGGTGGAGGTTACAGTGAGCCGAGATCATGCCACTGCATTCCAGCCTGAGCAACAGAATGAGACTCTCTCAAAAATATATATGGTTTATATGGTTTGGTAATAGATTCCCTTTTAAGATTTTAGATTTAATTATCAAGTACTCCAAACCTGAGGAAAACAAAGAAAGGACTCTACTACTGAAAGAGTGTGTAGAAAGTATATAATTTTCAAATAATTATATAATGTGCAAATATAAGCTAAATTACATTTTCTAAGGATAGAAACTAATACTTCTAGGGTTTTCAGTTGTCACTGTATTTTTACAGAGTTACTGGTTCATACAAATTTTAAGAGATTTATATGTGTGTGTGTGTGTGTGTGTGTGTGTGTGTGTGTGTGTGTGTGTATAATGAGTTTGTCACAGAAAATACAATCTAAGAGAATATAAGCACTCAAAAGAATGGAAAAATCTGCTTAGATTAACAGCCAAGTAAAGAAGAGATGAAAGTTTGTCTTAGGAAAATATATAGTACTTGAATGTATAGGTATAATTTCTATATGCAGTACCATAATTTTTCTCTTCTGTGAGTCCCTTAGAAAGTTTGTAGGTATACAAAATTGCTTCTTTATTTCTTGAGGTATTCTGTACATGTTGAACTTCAAAATGCATGTTTTCTACATTAGGATACAGGGTATCAATATAGCATAGTTCCAGGAAATGTGTAGCAAACAATGTAAATGCCTAGAATATATAACAGATGATGAATATTAGTACTTCAAATATTAACTAGAAAATTCTATTTTAACTATATGAACATAAAATTTTAATTTAATTTTTCAAGTAGCTTGGCAAAGATGAGGAATAAAACTAATAATTTGGAGGCTAACACTATCAATCCATTTTTAAATGTTCTGAGATTTTATATTAAATGAAGAAGACATGTTTATTATGGTGGTACACAGACATGTGTGCCACATTATAGGAGAGAGAACAAAACCAAAAATAAACCTAAGAAATATATCTGAAGATACTGAAAAGCTGTTTACCAGAAACAAAGCTATGAATTGAGGTAATCATTTATTAGGGAGGTAACTCACATGCAAAAAAATCATAATTTTTCCTCAATTTTTAAAAAGCTTCACTATAAAAGTAGCCTCCCTCCTTGTAAGTAGGTTTTGGCAGTGGAATCAGGAGATTATTTTAGGTATGTGAAATTCCAAAAGTTTTTAGTTTTTAGATTTGCATTGTGTTTGGGTTAGGTACTGGTAGAGGAAAAAGAAAGATTGAGAACACCAATTAAGATAATGGTTCTCAAACATTAGTAATCCCTTAGAGAGCCTGTTAAACATGCAAATTCTTGGTACATATCTCCTTAAAAATTCTCAATCAATAGTTCTAATGTGGGGCCCCAGGAAATGGCATTTTCCATAAGTACTTTGGGTGATTTTGATGAAAGTGGTTCATGTGATTTACAGCCAGTGCAAGATTTCCAACCCAGAAGTTACCAAGGCAGATAGATATCTGAATAACTAGTTATGTTTTAAGACATTACCAGTGACAAATTAGGTAGGTGATCAGTGAAAATTTAAATATTAAGACAGCAAAAAAAATTAATGGGCAAATGGCTATAAACTGTGGAAGGTAAAAAGCAAGGGAAGGAATAATTTTGTATATGACAGAAAAATAAAAATTTTAAATAACTACTCAACAAATCAGAAGGAGTATAAAATAAAACCAGATTTATAAAGCTACAGGAAAATATTTAGAATACAGTAAACCATTTAAAAGCCACAGACCATATTCAATAACAATAATGTCCTTAAAAGTTATGTGCCAAACCAATCTATTATAGTAACTTTGCAAACTCTATTTCAGGTTAAATCAATTTAGCAAATAATTATTCAGACCCTATATTTACAAGGATTGTGCTAGGCACTAAGGATACTGTGTTAGAAAATAATGATTAACTTTAAAAGTAAGTAGCAATATTACATTTTGACTAAATTATTTATACTAAAAATAATATTGTAAAGTAATGCTAAAAGCACTATTCTTAAGCTATTGTAGAATACTTTGAAAACAGATACTGTATGCTTCAACCCAGGAGGTGGAGGTTGCAGCGAGCCAAGATCATGCCACTGTACTCCAGCCTGGGTGACAAGTAAAACTCCATCTCAAAAAAGAAAAAAAAAGAAAAGAAAACAGATATCTTATTAGATGGGGTTCTCCAGAGAAACAGACCAATAAGATATGTGTGTGTGTGTGTGTGTGTGTGCGCGCGCGCGCACATGCGCGCACACGCATGCAAGTGTGTATTATATGTGTGTAAAGAGACTTATTATAAAAAATTGGATCATGCAATTATGGAGGCTGACAAGATCCAAAATCTAAAGTCAGCAAGCTGGAGACCCAGGAGAGTTGATGATATAACTCCATTCTAAATGCCTGTAAGCTCTAGACTCAGAAAGAGCCAATGTTTCACTTGAGTTTGAAGGCAGGAAAGAACTAGTCTTTCAGATTCGAGGCAGTCAGTTCTCTCTTATTCTTGGAAGGATCAGCATTTTTGTTCTATTCAGGCTTTCAATTTATTGGACAGGACTCATCCACCCTAGGGAAGACAATATGCTCATTCAATCTACCAATGCTAATGTTAATCTCATCTAGAAACACCCTTGCAGATAAACCAAGAATGTATGACCTATGTCTGGGCACCCCACGACCTTGCCAAGTTGACACATAAAACTATCCATCACAAGTCCACCCCTTGTAAACTTGGCATCTATAGGCATCTCCTTATACCACACTTAATCTGCAAATGAAAATGATAACAAGGTCATACTTCCCTCTAATATGATACAACTATCTTTAGTACAACTGAGAAAGCACTAACCCCTTTTCCAGAAAAAGAGGTAACGTCCTTGAGTGATGTTAATTCTTCTCCTTGATATCTCATAACTTAAATACTATAATGTGAAATTAGACATACTTAAGTAATATGATGTGAAATGAATATATCTTATGTTACATTATAAGAGACTAAGAGAAGAAAGAAAATATATGTATATATACACAAAAAATCATACAAAATAAAGAGAAAATAGTCATGACAATTACAGACAGTCCTTATTTCTGTAACTAGTAACAGAGTTGTAGCTGGTAACTACAACTACCCTTTCCTATTACTACCTATTCTGTATTTCTTTTGCCTTCAGCAAGCCCTAGTTAGTCATAGCTCTTTATTTAGTGGGAAGACCCAAATCTTCCTTCCTGAAAGGTCTTGGCCATTCATAATCCTGCCTGGATTTGGCTGTAGTTTTCCATTAACCTTTAACACAGAGCATGACGGAACTGAGATACCCTAAGGAATCTTCTGCATTCCAGACATATTCTTCCTTTATTGCATTATGGATTAGCAGTCCAATTTCCCTTTGCTAATTTCCCTTTGCCTGTTGATTCAGAGGCATAAGATAACCAAAGTGGCTGAGCAGGTGTCTTAACTTCCAGGTCAAAAAGTTACCACGATGTCTCTTGGTGAAAGCATACTTCCTTTGGAACTAAGACCTTTCTTGGTGAAAGCATACTCCCTTTGGAACTAAGACCTCTAGGTCAGCAGAGCAAGGCTGTAGAAACTGGAAGCAGATATTCTGCCCTTGAGTCACTAGGGATAATGGTGAGTGATGCCACTTCCATTTCCACTTCTTGATTCCTGGACCCATGAATCCTGGCAATGGGAGAAAGAGCATTGTATATTGGAAGCTGATTCAAAGAATATACAGCCTTCTGGAAAACCTTTCCCTAGTCCTGAAACATACTGCCACATAGCTGGTGATGTAACTGAGTCCTTAAAAGACTATTCCACTCTTCTATCAAGCCAACTACTTCAAGATGGTTGGTGAGCACAGCAAAAACATTGAAATCTATGACCACAGGCCCTTTGCAGCATTGGATGCATTTGCTCTGAAGTAAGTTCCTTGATCAATGGCAGATAAGGCATTCTTTAAGTCCATGGATGTTAGTTTTGGCAGAAGCATTACACATAAAAAAGGCAAACTGACGTCCTGAGTAAGTGGCTATTCCAATATGAATATAACGGAGGTGGTCCAATGTAATCAACCTGCTACCAGAGAATGGTGCCATAAAGAAAACTCAATGTTGGTTTCTGCTGCAGGCAGACTGGGCACTCAATAATGGCCATATCCAGGTCAGTCTTGGTGAGTGCAGGCTCCTGTTCCTGATCTCATGCATAAAACTTCAATCCTTGCCACCATGGCCACTTACTCATGAGCCCACTGGGTGATGACAGAGGTACCTGGGGAAAAAGCCTGGCTGGTATCCATACGAGTCATCCCATTTACTTGATTTTTTTTTTTTTTTTTTTTGAGACGGAGTTTCACTCATGTTACCCAGGCTGGAGTGCAATGGCGCGATCTCGGCCCATCGCAACCTCTGCCTCCTGGGTTCAGGCAATTCTCCTGCCTCAGCTTCCTGAGTAGGTGGGATTACAGGCAAGCACCACCATGCCCAGCTAATTTTTTGTATTTTTAATAGAGACGGGGTTTCACCATGTTGACCAGGATGGTCTCGATCTCTTGACCTCGTGATCCACCCGCCTTGGCCTCCCAAAGTGCTGGGATTACAGGCTTGAGCCACTCCGCCCGGCTACTTGATTTTTAAAATCTTCCTCCGCTGAGGTTACCCTTTGGTGATCATTTCCATGGGACACAAATATCTTAATGTATTTTTCCCATTCAGAACAATATACTTTCATACCTTCTTCCTAAATTTCTCCATTACCAATATTCCAATTATGTGCCCTCTGAGTCCCTGACCATGTAGCCAAACTATTGGCCTCAGCCCATGAATCAATATACAATTGCATGTCCTGCAATTTCTCCTTCCAAGCAAAGTGAGCCACCGGATGTACTGCTCAAAGTTCTTCTGACTGGAGGATTTCCCTTCAATATTTTTCAGGGAAAGGGGCTGTAGTACTTCAGCTGTCCACTTTTAAGTGGTGCCTGCATGTCAAGAACTATCTGTAAATCAAGCCAGGACTTCTCCCTCTGTCAACTGCTCATAGGGAACTCCCCATGAGGCTACAGTTGCAGGCTGGAAGAGAGAAGACAGTACAGCAGGAGTGGAGATTATGGGCATTTAGGGCACTTCTTTATATATCTTATTTGAGCCATCAGGGCCTGCTCAGACCTGCTCATGTAGATACCATTTCCATTTGATGAAGAAGTGCTGCTGTGCATGCCCAACTTTATGGCTTGGTAGGTAGGATAACACCTAGTACATGCTGGGCAGCTCAGGTAGTATGGTAACTTGGGGGCTATAGCTAAGTGTTCAGTTTCTGCTAAGGCTCAGTTGTAGGCCAAGAGCTATTTCTGAAAAGCAGAGAGGTTATCCATGGACGAAGGGAGGGCTTTGTTCTAAAATCCTAAGGGATTGTGCTATGATTAACATTTAGCAGACTGCCAAAGTCTTCTAACAGCATCCTTATCTGTGTGGATACTTCAAGCACCATTGGATCTGCTGGACCATATCGCTAAGTGGCAGAGTAACTTGTGAGACAGCATAGACCTATTGCAGAGCCTTCTCTTGTTTTTGAGAGTCCTTACTCAAAACTAGCAACTTCAGATCACTTGGTGACACATCCAATTGAGGTAATACCTCCAAAATTCAAAGAGGCACACTAGGTGGTGTGTTTCTTTTATCATTGTAGGAGGGGCCTGCTACAACCCTTCATCCTTAGAAGAAATATCTCAATATATCCCACACTACTGGACCTCTAGGAATTTTGCTGAGGTAGAAGATGCCTGAATTTTTGTCAAATTTACTTCCCACCCTGTAGCATGCAAATGTCTTACCAGTAAATCTAGAGTATTTGCTACTTTTTGCTCACTAAATCCAAACGTATATCCTCAATGTAAAGGACCAGTGTGATATTCTGTCAAAAGAAAAGGTAATCAAGATCCTTGCAATCTTGAGGAAGTCACATCCCTTAGATGGAATCATGAAGGTGTACTGTCAGCCTTGTCAGCTGAACACAAACTACTTCTGGTGGGATTTATTGACAGGGATGAAGAAAAGGGCTATTTCCAGAGGTAACAGGGAATGTGTGTTAATTTGTTTATATCATGAAAACAGATCTGGTAAACCAGTGGCAATTGGAGTAACAACCCAGTTAAGCTTAGAATAATCCATTGTTATTCTCCAAGTTCTATCTTTCTTCTATACAGGCTAAATAGGCTAATTGAGTTTGGATATAATGAAAATCACCAACCCTGCATCCTTCAAGTCTTTGATGGTACCACCAGTCTTTGCAATTCCTTCAAGAATATGGATTGTGTTTGGTTTACTTTTCCTAGGTAGAGGAAGACAGTTCTAGTGACTTCCATTGGCCTTTTTTACCATAATAGCTCTCACTGAATAAGGAAAAGAACCAATGTGGGGATTTTTCTAACTGCTAAGTATATCTAATTATGCATTCCAGAACTGGAAAATAACCACAAGATGGGTTTGTAACCCATTGGACCCACTGTGAGATGGACCTGAGCTAAAACTCCACTGATCACCTGATTTTCAGAATCCCCGTACTCTGACTGAAACTAATCAGTTCAGAATTCATGTCCAGATCTGGTTATTTTCTTTGCCCCACACCTGTTACCCTTTACACTCTGGTAAAAGCCTATAGGTCCTTTTGGGAAATGCTGGGAGAAAGATTAACAGTATAAATTTTTGGCAGTGAACAGGGATCCTTCTTTAAGGAGGCCCAGCTTCCCTTTTATTCAAGGACTCTGGATCTATAAACTGGCTCAAATCTGGGAGTTGATGGAGGGGTCATGACACTTTTTTATTCAGGTTAGATTTTTGTTCACTTGACCTAGAATTTTTATGCTTTATTCAAATCAAGTAGAATTTAGTAGCCCTCTTTTCCAATGCCATAGGTCTGTGTAAGTCAAATTATTCTGATTGCTGCTTTGACTCTGGTTCCCATTACAGTAACTTGTCCACCTTGCCTTTGGTGGTTGAGTGCCACAACTATGACTCTACCACCTTGGGATCCAATCATTCCTATTGCATTTGGGTTTTCCAATTCAGTTCCTGCGGTTCCCACTGTAAGGCCTGGCCTACATAGAAGAGTGATAACAGAGCACTTCAAGGCTACCAGGGCTCCTCTCACAAATTTATTTCTCATAGTCATGGTAAAAAGTATGTCATCTGGACTCTCCCAGGATTGGTAAGTGATCTTAAACGACAAACCCACTCCAACATTCCAGCCTCCCTAAGCTTTGAATCGCTTCCTCTACATTAAACCAAGGCAACTCATTCATGGTGGGCCACATTTTGGTCTGTTTTTCAGCCACTCAATCAAACTGTTAGACCCCTTTCTAACAATTTGAGTTGCAACATTAAACGCACACCCTGCTTAGTAAGCCCCTATCAGTAACTTCGGCCTAATTCAACTTTATGTTCCTTCTACGCTTATCCCACATCCTTAGAACATATTCCCACACATATTCCCTAGATTTCTGTCTGTATAAAGTATAAAATTCAAGTAGTTCTTTTAGAGTGTAATGTACCTCCTTATAGTCACATTCTGTACCTCACCTTTAGTGATCTTCTAAGATTCTAACCAGTCTAGTTACAGGTCTAGAAGCAAAGAAATGTGGTGGAAGTGGGTCCTGAGGAGACTCAGCATTGCCTGGTATGGCAACTGTCTCAGGGGATGCCATTACAGTTGCCTCAGGTAATGCTAGGTTAATCCCCTCAGACTGGGTGAAGTGGTCTCTTCCACTGGCAAAGATGACTCATCAAAATTCAGGGCCTAAATGTCCCCAGGTTCATTAGAGTCTCCCCACACATCCCTATTCCAACTGAAAGTCTCCCATTCCTTCCTAACTAATGCCGTCACTTTAACAATAGACACTCTATAAGGCTGGAAGTTCAACTCGTGTTGTAATTCTGGCACAGAATGAGATTCTGGGTTTGATTTTCAGCAATCTGAGCCCTGTGACTATAGGAGATAAGGATTTCCTTCAGAGCACATTTGGGTGCTTTCAAGTCATTTATGCAGCAATGAGCTGGCAGTTTGGTGTTTTTTTGTTATTTAAAAATTTTTAGTTAAAAAGATAATACACATGTTTCTAAGTTAACACATTAAGTAATGCATTAAAAAGCAGCAAGACTAATAAGTCCCACTTTTGGAAGCAGTGAGGAGGTGATGCACATTTCCTGGTGTCTACAGCCACTGTCATAGAACTGGAAAACATCTGTGGTTTCTACCGAGGGAATGCACAGTTCCTTCTAACCCTGTTGTGCTTCCTTGCCTGCATTCACCTGGGAGAAAAGGTTTGATTTTGAGTAGAGGTTAGTGACCATAAAGAGGCTTTTTTTCCAAGTTGAGGCTCCTGGACTCAAGTTTTCAGATTCACACAGCCATGGTGATCCATGGATCTCAGGTTAAGAACCCATGGCCTTCTTACAAACCCCCTGCTGTGATCTGGGGACACAGGTGATGCCTGGTTCTTCCTGGTAGTAAGAGACAGGTCCTCACCAGATATGTGACAGGCAGTGCCTGGAAGTCCCTCGGGTGGGGGCCTGAGCTGGCAATTTGAATCCTTGAGTTCATCCTTTGCTTTTCCAACTTTGTATAGTGATGCTAGGAGCAACCAGCCAATTTCATTATATTTATTAGTTTGCCAAAAATGTTTGGAAGTATCATATATAAAATCATGTGGATCTCTGCTGCTTACAGTTGATTAAGAGTATATGATAGTGATATTTTACTTATCACTATTGTCAGATCATACCAGAACCAAGATTTGTCTTAGGATTCTCCAGAGAAAGAGGACCAATAGAGAGAGAGAGAGTAAGAGAGAGGGAAAGAGAAAGAGAAAGTGTATGTGTGTGTGTGCGTGAGAGAGAGAGAGAAAGTGTGTGTGTGTGTGTGAGACAGAGAGAGAGAGAGAGAAGAGATTCATTAATTCATTATAAGAAGCTGGCTCATGCGATTTATGAAGGCTAACACGTATTGAGATCTAAAGTGGACTAGCTAGAGGTCCAGGAAAGCCAATGATATAACTCCAGTCCAAAGCTGGCAGGTTCCAGACTCAGAAAAAGCCAATGTTTCAGTTTGAGTCTGAAGGCAGTAAAGAATAGATCTTCCATATTGAAGGCAGTCCGGAAGGAGGAGTTTCCTCTTACTCTTTGGAAGGTTTTTTGCTCTATTCAGGCGTTGTATTTATTGAGTGGGACCCACCCACATTAGGGAGGGCAATCGTCTTTACTCAGTTTACTAATTCTAATCTCATCCAGAAACACCCTCACAGACATACCGAGAACAATGTCTGACCAAATGTCTGGACACTCTGGCCCAGTCAAACTGACAGGTAAAATTAACCATCATAGGCACTAATTAGCTTTTAATCGTAAGTAAGACACGCACTTTATTTATATGAGAAATTATAACTGATACATTAAAAATTACAAAGACTAATATTATTTATTAACATTACTTTTGATTTATCACATACCTTTAAGTATAAAATGGATTTTTCTCATTCTATACAATAAATCATTATGAGCCGGGCAGGACAGTTCAGCCTGTAATCATAGCACTTTGAGAAGCTGAGGTGAGTAGATCACTTTACCCTAGGAGTTCAAGATCAGCCTGGGTAACATGGTGAAACCCCATCTCTGCTAAAAATACAAAAATTAGCTAGGTGTGGTGGTGCATGCCTGTAGTCTCAGCTACTCAGGAGGCTTAGGCAGGAGGATCACTTGAGCCTGAAAGATAGAGGTTGCAGTGAGCCAAGATTGTGCCACTGCAGTCCAGCATGGGCAACAGAGTAAGACCCTGTCCCCCCAAAAAATAAATTAAATAGAAATAAATAAATAATTATGGACTTACATTTAAGGTCCATAAATATATTTATTTAATATATATTTATTTAATAATATATTTCTTATTTAATATACCTTAAAATGTTCCTAAGATGAAGTTAATTCATTAAATGAATATGAAATTCATTTCATTAAATGAATAAGATGAAATAATTTCATCTTAGGGACATTTTAAGGTATATAAAATAAGAAAAGCATTTTTATTTATGTTTTGTTCATATCTGTATACATTGTGAGTGATCATTTAAAAAGATATTTTATAAATTAATTAATAGAGCAAAAATCAATGTTCTACATAGTTGATTTGTGAAAAGCTATTTAAAGGGATAAAATTTTAGTTAGGTAGGTGAAATAGATTGTTTGTAAAGTTACCTGAGATGCCTAGTGCTTTCCTTCCTGTTGTAACATTGTCATCAACATTATTGCACATGGAGACAATTACTGAAAGACCTTCATATTTTGCTACTTAATTTTATGAAATTAAAGCCAATTGACTAATTTTGTGTTGTTTGTATTTCTTGATTTCATGTTTTCCTTATCTATATCATGGCTATCAAACTAATGAGTCCCACTTTCATTGGAAATGAAGTAATAAAAATATAAATATTATATGTGTTGACTATCTAAATTGTTTTAAAAGCTATTTGTGGGTATCTGTAAAATTCAATAATAATAAAAGAATACATAAAGAGGACTCAAAATTAACATATTTAAAATAAAGCAATACCTTTAAGCTCAGTAGATATTCACAAACAGCATAACAAATGCCAATACCTTCTTCTGTATTAGTACCTCTGCCAAGTTCATCAATTAATATGAGCGATTTGTCATTAGCATTATGTAGAATATATGCTATCTGAAATATATAATTTTAATATATATTCATTGTAACCAAACAGCTGTCACTATCACAGTAAAAAAACGAAAAAAAAATCCAGTCTCTTTATAAGTTTATCTGAAACGTATTTTTACAGAGACATCCTGCTGAGCAGAAAATAACACATTGTTTTCTTTTCTAAAAATCTCATCACTAATAATTCCAATAGAATAGCTGATGTGTACATAACTAGACATTTGAATATGTATATCAGACAACATAGAGTAAATAACCATTATCTAAAATATTGATGCTTTAGATACAGTGAAACAAAGCAATTAAATAAATGTTTAAACTAAGCACAAAGATGGTCATTTTCTTCTCGAAAAATGACTAATCAATTACTGTTATAAAATATCCAAAATCATCTCTAAAATTTATTTAAGTATTACTTTATATCCAGTAAAGATGAAGTAAAAAAAATTAAGAAAAAGTACCTAAGTCATGACTATTGGTTTAACAAATAAATTTAAATACATAACCAATGTAGACCAAGTCTTAAATTGACAGAAGTGCTCTTTTCCACTGAAGATTATTAACCTTTCTCAAAAACAAAATTTTACCTTTATTATACTTTGACACAATAGTAACTTTGATGGATATTTTATCTTTCTAGGAGACTAAGCTTTTTGAGGGCTAGGACCATTTAAAAATATACCTTAAGTGCCTAGTATATTGCTATGCTCTCTTATATTCAATACACAATAAATAATCATACAAATTGTGGGACAAATGATAACTTTATTTACCACCTATCTACTTGAAGAAAATTATCTAACTAAACAGGGATCCCATAAATTTTAATACAGGTATCCCACAAGTTATACTTAATTCCTTTAGTTCTAAAGCCTCCTCAATGTTTGCTCAATCAGAAAAAGGTGATTCTTTGGTACAAGAAGTGAAAATTCTACAAGAACAAAGAAAAGGATGATTTTTGAAAGCCTTCTAACACAACAATTTTTTTGTTTTAAAATCAAACCTATGAGGAACAATAAATATTACGGAAAACGATACTGAACCAGTCATCATTTTCTGAAGTCTTTCACATATTCCCTATAAAAACATTTAAGCACACTTTTATTACTCAATAACACTAGCTCTTTCTCTTAAAACTGTATTCTTCAATGAAACATTCTCTTCTATTTCTACATAAAACAAAAATTAGGAGGCTGTCTTTGACTGCCCTCTGGCTCTAAGAAAAGGGTATAAACATTTCTGCATATTTTAGTATAAAAATATTTTATGTGATAACTGATCATTAGTGAGAGAATTTAATGTTTTTAACATAAGAAAAGTTTTGTTGGGTACCTCTTTCATTTCTTTCATAAATGTTGATGAATTTGTTTCAATATCGTCATCAGTACTGATTCTTGTAAAAATCTGTTTAGCAATTCTAAAGGAAGAATATTCTGCTGGAACATATGATCCTGTAAAACATAAGGTCAAGATAAATTGAAATGTGCTTATAAAATATAAGTCTAATAACATTCTGCACTTCTCAGATTTACAAAGATTATATGGTAGAAATAACACTAGATATGGCATTAGAAGACATGGCCCCAGCTCTAACCTTATTATATAAGCTTAGACAGCACTTAAACTTTCCAAGTTCCATCTTACCCATATATAAAATAAAAATTGTTGCCCTACCTACTGTACAAAGTTGCCTAGAAGTGCAAATGAGACAGCAGATATTCAAGTACATAAGAAAGAGACTGTTATAAACTCAATAAATTTTTAAATAACTTAGTTGAATGATAAAGAACATTAAAAATATTAAAATGTGAAGAGAATGCTTATAAAGTTTATGAATATAATATGCCAATTACACTGATCTAATCATTATACATGGTATGTATTGAAACATCACTATGTATGTCTTAAATGTGTGCAATTGTTATATGTCAAAAATAAATTTTTAAAAAAGAAATATGAAAATCTGAAGAAAATGCCTATAAAGCTGAAGTTAATTAAATCATTATAAAAGAAATTTCTATGATTACAAACATGCAGAAACATTCAGAAGCAAAATCAAAGCAAAAAAATTAATAAAAAGAAAAAAAGTGAATATTTACCCACAAGACTGTTCCTGCCAATAAGTTATCGTGCTAACTAAAATATTCATTCTTTGAAAACAAATCAATCTGATTAATGCATCCATACCAATACAGAATAAAATCTAAAAGGCATTCTAACATTATAAGAAGATAAAATATACAAATAGTTTAATGGGAAAAGTACCACATATACAGAATTCTGTATATATAAAATCATGAAATAACAGGAGCAAAAAAACAAAGCCAGGTTACTCCAAGATTAAAAACAAAAATAAGGATAAAGAATAAGGCCTAACTCTGAGGAATAAGGACTAGCAGAAAACAAAACTAAAAGTCAGGCTAATACTAATGAAAACAAAAGTAATAATCTTAACAGTAGTAATTATAATGACTGCATCTACCATTCTACATACTAGGCATTTTATATCCACTCTTCCTAATTTTCAAAATAACCTATTAAATTGGGTATTATTTTTGTCATTTTACAAATGAAAAAGTGGAGGCTCAGGATCACAAAATGAGAAAGATGTATCTCCTCCATTCTTCTCTATTTTTTTGTTTATTTACCTAAAAGCATAAATTATGCGGGGCTGATTAAAAAAAAGAAAGAAAGACAAAAGCATAAATTATGAACCTAAAGTGGCTCCTGATACATAATCTCATGATGTTTGCTGAAAATAAACAATGAAGTAACAGAGCCAGAATCTGAATCCGAATCATCTGGCTCAAAACAAAAACAGAAACAGAAACAAACTCTTTATTTCCAAGATAATAGAAATGGCCTGCCACCTTCTTAAGATTCTGGAGAAGGGTTGGGACAATTTGCTAATTTAGAGCAAAGATTATTTGTCAGGCTGTATGGGTTTGATTCCTTGTGCTGCCTCTTACAAACTATATGATTATGGACAAATTCCTTCTCAATACTTTGACTTACTCATCTTTTACATGGAGCTAATAATCTTTATCATATTTTTGTAAGTATTAACCAGATAATCAGTACATGTATTATGATACATGTACTATGAGTTTCCAGGAAGATGTGAAATGCGTATTATCATGCAAGGTACATAGACCAGTGATGGGCATATTGAACATTCAATATTAGCTACTGGGGTGTACTAGTCTGCTTCTTCACCCTGTAAAAAGAACTCCCTGAGATTGGGTAATTTATAAATGAAAGAGGTTTAATTAACTCACAATGCTGCTTGGCTGGTGAGGCCTCAGGAAACTTACAATCATGGTGGAAGGTGAAGGGGAAGCAAGGACCTTCTTCATATGGGAGCAGGAGAGAGACAGAGCAAGGTGGGAACTGCCAAACACTTTTAAACCATCAGATCTTGTGACAACTCACTATCACAGGAACAGCATGGGGGAAAATGCCCCCATGATCCAATCACCTTCCACCAGGTCCCTCCCTCAACACATAAGGATTATAATTCAAGAGATTTGGGTGGGGACACAGAACCAAACAGTATAATGGGGCAAATGGGGAAGACTAAGGTAAAGGATTGACACTGGGTGATCTTGGGCAAGTCTTTGAGCCTGACTTTTCTCATTTTATAGAAATTTAATAAATATTTATTGAAGCCTTTCTATGTGTTAGGGTAAATAAACAGACATGAGCCCTGCCCTCGGAGAGCAAAACACAGCGAGTTCTTAAATACAGCTTTCTTATGGAATTTCCAAGAAAATAAATGTGAAGGTAATATATACATTATTAAGTGGTATATGTTCGTATTTTCTCTGCTCTTTTAACCTCCATCAAAAAGGTTCCCAACCTTTCTTATCTAGATTATTACAGAAGCCTCCTGGCTGGTATTTTTGCTTCTAGTCTAGCTCTCATCTATGCTCCAGCTAGAACAATCTATCTAAAAGTCAAATCTGATCATGCCATTCTCTTACTAAATTTCCTTTATTTGAGACAGAGTCTTGCTCTGTCGCCAGGAACCAGGATGGAGTGCAGTGGTGCAATCTTGGCTCACTGCAATCTCTGCCTCCCAGGTTCAAGCAATTCTCCTGTCTCAGCCTCCCTAATAGCTGGGACTACATGCGCGTGTCACCACGCCCAGCTAATTTTTGTATTTTTCAGTAGAGATGGGGTTTCACCATGTTGGCCAAGATGGTTTCGATCTCTTGACCTCGCTATCCGCCCGCGTCATCCTCCCAAAGTGCTGGGATTACCTAAATTTCTTCAATAGCTCCCTACAGATTACTGGATAAACTCAATCTCCTTGGGTAAATACCTAAAGCCCTCCATGACCTAACTGCTGCCCATCTCTCCAGCTTTATATTCTGCTATTTCTCACAGTTAGTCTTTACTCTACAAAGTAAAGGAAGTACAAGGCCTCTGTCCTATTTTTTTTTGGTTGCCTGGGCACATCATACTTTTTTTTTTGGGGGGGGGTTGCTGTGTTTTAGCACATACTCTTACCTCTGCTTGGGAAGTCTCCTTTTCCATACTTTCCCCTAAAATCCGTAGCATTTTATTTATGTTACCTGTCCTTATAAGAATTATTAGAAGTGAGTGTTACTGTAGTTTTCATTTTCAGATAGGAAAACCAAGGTTTAATGAGGTTAAGTAATTTGCCTAAGATGACATAGCTAGCAACTAGGCAAGCAAGATCTACCTTCAAAGTCTATGTTCCTAACTTCCATGCCTTTCAAGTCCCACTGGTATCTTATGGTCAGACTATATGAAATATCATCTATGTTTCAGAGGTTTAAGATGGTCATTAACCAGAGAAGTATAAAAATTATCTTCAAGTTCAATTTGAAGAACTAATATTGGGAAAAAATACTAGACTATTCTGTAGTACATAGAAGAGTAAGGACTAATGAGCTGAAATTATAGAAATGAGGTTTCAGTTCAATGTAATGAATACTCTAACAGCTAAGGCTGTCCAGCAATGGGACAGCCTGTAGAGTTCCTCATTGCTATTCAAATAAAAGTATTATGTCTTACATGAATTAGAAAGTATTCTTATAAGGGGAGGGAAATTAGCTAAGATGTCCTTTTAATTCCAATAAACCTACAAAATCAATAAAATATTTACTCTTCATTAACTCATTAATCTCTGATTTCATTTCCCAGTACTAAGGGTGAATTTGTACTGTATCACCAACGTTATTGTTGCTTTGTTCCCCTCACAATTCATTACATTAGACCAAGGTTTCTCACCCATGATACTACTAATGTCTTGGGCTCAATAAATTTTTCTTTTTTATGTTCACTTTTTAAAATATATATATACTTTTAAGTTCTGGGGTACATGTGCAGATTGTGCAAGTCTGTTACATAGCTATACACATGCCATGGTGGTTTGCTGCATCCATCCCCCTGTCATCTACATTAGGTATTTCTAAGGTTATCCCTCCCCAAACCCCTCACCTCCTGCTATCCCTCTCCTAGTCCCTCCACCCCCCAACAGGCCCTGGTATGTGATGTTCCCTTCCCTGTATCCATGTGTTCTCATTGTTCAACACCCACTTATGAGTGAGAACATGCAGTGTTTGGTTTTCTGTTCTCATGTCAGTTTGCTGAGAATGATGGTTTCCAGCTTCAATCATGTTCCTGCAAAGAACATGAACTCATCCCTTTATTTTTTTGTCTTGATTTAGTTATAGAACTCATCCTTTTTTATGGCTACATAGTATTCCATGGTGTATATGTGCCACATTTTCTTTATCCAGTCTATCATTGATGGGCATTTGGGTTGGTTCCAAGTGTTTGCTATTGTAAACAGTGCTACAATAAACATATGTGTGCATGTGTCTTTATAATAGAATGATTCATAATCCTTTGGGTATATACCCAGTAATGGGATTGCTGGGTCAAATGGTATTTCTATTTCTAAATCCTTAAGGAATTGCCACGCTGTCTTCCACAATGCTTGAACTAATTTACATTCCCATCAACAGTGTAAAAGCGTTCCTATTTTTCCACATCCTCTCCAGCATCTGTTGTCTCCAGATTTTTTAATGATCGCCATTCTAACTGGAGTGAGACGGTATCTGAGCATGGCCAACAGACATCATCAAGATAGCAAACATACACATATCAACTAAAATACAGAAGATAATGAGTACATGGTTTAATTTACCTTCCCCAAAAGCAAAGAACTCATGTGATTTCAGAAATAAATTCTAACAAATATCTAAGGAATAGATAGTGCCAATGTTATTTAAACTGTTTTAGAGCTTACAGGAAAAAAACGAAAACTTTTAAATTATTTCCATGAAGCTAGCATAACATTAACATAAAAACATTAAAAAGATAGCACACAAAAAGCTATAGTTTAATTGTGTATAAATATCAATGTAAAAATTCTAACTAAAATATTAGAAAATGGAATTTGATCAACAGAAGGGCAGAATTATTTAACATATAAAATAAGTTCATATGAAGAAGGAAGATAGGTTTCAATATTAAGAAACCTACTGATACAATTCACTATATTAAGAAACATTACATGAGCATCTTCAAAGTTGCCAGCGACAGCATTTAATAATATTCAACATTTCACCTTGATTAATAATAATTATAATAACTCAAACAATAAGAATGGATACATCGTGAATACAATGATATGAATTAATTCAGCTGATGCTTAATAAGAAAACATCAGAAACATTCCCATTTAAGTCAGGATCAATGCAGGTATACCCACTAACTTACCATAATTGTTTAATATTCTTCTGAGAGTCTTAGTCAAAACAATTAGAGAAAAAGAAATGGAAAGCAAAAACACTGGAAATAAAAAGGCAGAATTATCACTTTCTGCAAATGATGTTTGTGTAAGTGGAAAAATAACCAACTGTAAAACTATGTTTATAAAACAGAAGTTGGCTGAAACTGGATCCCTTCCTTACAAACTTATACAAAATTTAACTCCAGATGGATTGAAGATTTAAACATAAGACCTAACACCATAAAAACCCCAGAAGAAAACCTAGGCAATATAATTCAGGACATAGGCATAAACAAGGACTTCATGACTAAAACACCAAAAGCAATGGCAACAAAAAGCAAAATAGACAAATGGGATCTAATTAAGCTTAAGTGTCAAAGTGGTCATTATAAATAAAGCCACAACTTACCAATCTGGGCCATAATCTGACAAAGAGCAATCTGTTTTAAATATGTGGATTTTCCACTCATGTTTGGTCCAGTTATGATCAAAAAATTACTCCCTTCTGTAATATAGGTATTGTTGGCCACAGGTTTTTCTGCAGTTATTTTCTCAAGAATAGGATGCCATCCCTGTTTGATTGCTAAAGTATCAGTAAACTCTGGTCGAACTTAAGAAAAAAAATAGAATGGTTTTTAAAGATTAATATATTTGTAACTAAAGATTTCATGGTGTGTATGTACTGTCTATATCTTAGTGATATTTACAAGAGTCAATTTGAAATAATAATATTAAGGTATCATTTTATCCCAAATTCCCACCCAAATTCCTCTAAATTATAATGGACATATTCTAATCACTATCACAACTTTTACTCACTTCCAGAGAACTCTAGAATTCAGTTCTTTATCCTATCCTGAGCTCCAAAATAGTGTATAAAATTTTCAGCTATGAGTAGTTTAAAAAGAACCAAGTAGACCAGGTGTGGTGGCTCACACTGGTAATCCCAGCACACTTTGGGAGGCTAAGGAGGGTAGATTGGTTGAGCTCAGGAGTTCAAGACCAGCCTGGGCAACATGGTGAAACCCTGTCTCTACAAAAAAAAAAAAAAAAAAAAAAAAAAAAAAAATTAGCTAGGCTCATGCCTGTAGTCCCAGCTACTTGAGGGGCTGAGATAGGAGAATCTCTTGAGCCTGGGAGGTGGAGACTGCAGTGAGCTGAGATTGTGCCAGTACACTCCAGGCCTGAGTAACAAAGTGAGTCCCTGTCTCAAAAAAATAAAAATAAAAAGAACCAAGTATTCATTGACAGTACTTTAAAAATCATAATTGATTACTAGTACTACAGAGTTGCACATTTACTTGGTTTACCTTAAACACTATTTCCCTACATTAAATATTATTTCAAATTTGGCACACTTAGCATTTATTTATTTATTAGGGACAGGGTCTTGCTCTATCATCAAGGGTGGAATATAGTGGCAAAATCATAGCTTGTTGCAGACTCAAACTCCTGGGTTCAAGCCATCCTCCTGCCTCAGCCTCCCAAGTAGCTGGGAGTACAGGCACCTGCCACCACTTATCACTATTTGTTTTTTAGAGATAAGGTCTTGCTATGTTGCCCAGGCTGGTTTCAAACACCTCGCTTATAAATTGAGGTATGATTACAGAATAAAATGAAATATAAAAATAATTCTAAGCCCATGAAAAAATTTTGTATAAAAGGAAATTTCAGAGAATACAGAAGATCAACACAAATGATTTGGTAATTTATAGAAACAAATAATGATCAGGTTTCTATGGATACCACCTGAGGCAGAGGGAAGAGGAAGAGGGTGAAAGAATATGTGAAAACCAAAATGCTACATACCTTTATCTAAAATGCATAGATAAACTTGAAAACATTCATCATAAAAGTGAGGTTAGTTAGAAAAAAAAATTTAAGTATTTCCAAAATTTCATTATTTATAGATTTGGAGTTTCAGAATGATCCCTCACAAACTAAAATGAAGCAATACTAAATCTCTTAATAGTTTTTTTTTTTTTTAACTACTATTGGAATACCTGTCCCCTAAAGTAGAGTTTTGACTCGAAGGAGATAAAAAAGTTTGAAAAGTTTTGGCCTATAAAATACCAACGGAAAAAGTTAATATTTCCATAAGAAATATGAAAAAATCTTAAAAGATACTTCCCATAAAAGTAAATTAACATAACATTTTAGAAATGTTACTGCTGATTTACATTAGAAATTTAAATGTTTTTAATGTAATGAAGTATACAATTATTCAACCATAATTATCACATATTAGTCCAGTAAATTTGCATACTGGAGTATGGTTATTACTGAGAAGTTAGATAAGAAATGTCAAAGCACTAACTCGAAGTATTCATTTAACACGAGAAAATTACTTAACATTTATATTCAAGGCCTTTGTATGGACTTGGGATATAAAAATAAATTACATAACTCCTGATCTTGGTATGTTCACATCTAAGGCGCTAGCAGATTAAAATGCTCACTCTGGAGATGCATTTCTCTCTATTAATATTTATCCCACTACTTCTAATAAGTATTCAGATTTGAACTTTATAAATTTAGATCATTATCATTTTTACCAAGGAGGCAGTTCTTGAAGTTTTTCTTATTTTGGGAATCTTTAGTTTCTTGCAGTTTTTTCTTTTTGGTTTGCCAATTTCTGACAGAACAATTTTTTACTTTATTATAAATATATATACATATATATATATATGTATATATATTGTTGCATTTTAGGTTTGGGGGGACATGTGAAGAACGTGCAAGACTGTTGCATAGGTACATACATGGCAGTGTGGTTTGGCTGCCTTCCTCCCCATCACCTATAACTTGCATTTCTCCCCATGTTATCCCTCCCCAACTCCCCACCCCCCACTATCCCTCCCCTAGTTTCCCCCCAAAAAATTATTTTGTGTCTTAGTCTAGGACCTGAGACAAGAGACTCTATTTCAAGTTAAAAATTTTAAATGTCTCAATTATTACATTAAATTGTTTGAAAGGAATACAAATTTAAGTATGCAACATGTTTCTTCCAAAGAAACTTACCGTAGTCAGAAAGAGTGCAGGCATGAGCAAATGACAGTAGCATATCCAGCATTGAAACAGTGTCAGATAGTTTGTATAAGCAATGAATATGTTCATAAATCTCACTAAGCAGTTTGCACACTATCCTGAAAACACATGTTTGGTAAGACATGTAATAATATTTTTTCAAAAGGGACATACATTGTAATTGTAAAACAATATTAAATTCATTAGCTGAAGTAAAATAACATTCACACCTCAATTATATACTATAGATAAAGCTTATTTTTCAACTATCTCATTTTAGAGACGAGGAAATCGAAGTTTTTGTTCAAGATCACAGCTATTTAGTGGCAAAGAACCTATCTTCTGGTGTATTAACATATTTTTGAAATAACTGCTTTTATCTGATATTAATAAGTTTTTATTAATAAAAATATTTGACAGGTGAAATCAAGCCCTCATTACACTTGGGCAGACCCCATTTCCTAATCATTTTGTGAATTTGCAAATGCTTAGTTCCACACAAAAGCTATATGCATGTTGCCTCTCACCTGTTTTTTCTTTCCTCTTCTCTCGTTCTCTCACTCACACACATGCACACAGACACAATATCTGAATCATATAGTTATGTAAGTTTTTATAAGGCAGAGTTATACTGTAATATAGTACAAAAAATTTTCCTCTTGCAAAGATAAATATGTACTCAAAACTTATAATATATTAAAATGTTTGTGGCACGTGCCTTGAAATTGTCTTCAAAGCCCAACCTTTCTATTACCTGAGCCAGTAAGTGTTCTAAATGTCCTTCTTCTTTCTGGCCGTATTGCTACCGTATCAGGACCAGCAAAAGACCTGACACTACTGTGATACTGCTATTGAATTATTAATATCAAGGTATAAGAAGCCGAGGGCTTACAGGCTATAGGAAAAGAATAAACTGAAAGCAGCCCAGGTAAACCCATAATGTGCCAAGTTCTACATCATGGTAGAATGCATATTACAGAATTATCAATTATAATAGTATTTGTTTACAAATAGATCTTCCCCGAAGCTTCTGTGAGGCTCAGTGATTCTAATCATAATAACAGACTGTCTTTGTTAACATACATAATTCTACAATTGTCTGTAGTTAGACAAAAATTCAACTAATAAAATTGATCACAGTTTCTCAAATTAAACCAATTTAATTCAGTATTCAAATACTTCAAATGCTCTTACATATAAGTCATGTGATAGATTTCTCTCAAAGATTCTTGGCATCTTTCATTCATTTTAATTAAATCCGCTGATGTAAAGCTATAAGAATTTTTCACTTTAGAAATCTGGGAGGTTCAAAAACAATTATCAAGATAAGTGCACACTATTATGAAATATAACATAAGATTTTAAACAACAGAAATATGGATATTTAGGTTAATAATTTTAATCTTTGAGATATGGTATTACAAAGAAAGTTCTAAATAACATTTGTGAAACATAAAAGGAAGGTCACTTCAAAGGATAAAGCCAGATTTTTTTTCAACCCATACATTCATCCTTAAAAAGCAGGATATTTTGACCTAGTTCATCTGGGATGACTATTCTGGTAGGTCTTAAAACATTAAAAACAGTGCATCTTATTACCAAGTAACATGCATGATGGACATAAATGATCCTTACTCCATCTTCGACTCCTGTCGCACCCCTTGTCCTATATCTGAACCTCAACTCAATCTCTAATCTTAATATCTAAAAGCCTGAAAGTTAAATGGTTTGTTCTTATCAAAAAGTATCCCCAGAAGCAAATAGAACAAAGATTAGAGTGGGTTAGACCCTCGCAAACTGGATATTGTAAAAGAGCTATATAGGAAAAATTATTACTGTGGTATAAAGGTTTGGAAATATTAGATTTTTTAAAGTTAAGTAGATTTCTTTACTTCAGGTCTTTTTAAATATTTAACAGGCAAATGGTGTGGTATTTTCCTAATTTCTTTTATTATAAACAGCTTTTGGGTATTCTTTCTTCATGTTCCTTTTTTTCTTACACCAAGCTCCCAGAACTGTGGGAAACACTGAGTTTGGTATTTCTGTAAAAGCTTCTAAGTCACTCTTAGATAAGTATATTAGTTAGGTAGGTTGGTAGGAATTGGAGAAGAAATAGAACATTCAGAAATTTGGCTTGTAAAACTCAAGAAGTCCCAAAAATATGTAGATGTAATTCTATAAAATCAGAAACAATAATTTTCTAACCACTCTAAAATGAACCTTAATAAATTCTGAAGGAAGTTGATCACTAGGTAGGGCTATACAATCTGTAGTCATCTGGATGAAAAATCCTCGAGCAGAACTAAAACTTGTCCTTAAAGGAAGACTATATTTTTCTCCAAGCTGTGATATCATTCCTGGTGACCAGAAACAAGAAAAACAAAAACAAAACAAAATGAATAAATTTTAATGAGAAAATAACTCTGCTTTAAAGAGTCATATGGTTTTTAAATTATTGTTATTTTATACTTAAAGAGGAGGTCTTGTTACTCTTTCAAACTCTAATGATTTTTTTTTTTTTTTTTTGAGGCAGGGTCTCACTCTGTTGCCCAGGCAGAGTACAGCAGCACAATCACAATGCATTGCAGCCTCGACCTCCTGGGCTCAAGTGATCCTCCTACCTCAGCCTCCTGAGTAGCTGAGACTACAGGCATACATCGACATGCATGGCAAATTTTTTCATTTTTTGTAGAGACAAATTTTTGTCTCTACAAAAGACTAGCTGTGTTGCCAAGGCTAGTCTCAAACTCCTGCGATCAAGCTATCAGTCCTCCTTGGCCTCCCAAAGTGCTGGGATTACAGGCATGAGCTAATGCACCTGGCAATGGAAGTTTTTCATAAGGAGTTCAGTATGAAGGCTGCTACATATGCTGTTTCCTTAAATGGAAATACATGCTAACCTTATGTTTTGGTAACAAAAAATAAATTAAAAATATGTATGGCTAGTTAGTAGCAAAGAATTACAGTATGTCTTAAAAAGTCTGTTTCATCCCTACAAAAATAAAAAGCATTATCAAATAAATAAATTACCTGCTATGTCATCTACAATCTCTGTATATGTTCTTCTTGCTATGTCAAGAAATTCATTTATGTTAGACCTCACTGCATAGCACTTCTGAGTCCTCATGTTCAGGCATCCTTTCATGTATCTTGCATCATCATTAATTACTGTTTTAATCTTTTCAAGTATGATTCCAAATCTAATATTAAGTCAAGAAGAAAAATATTATAGGCAATAAGTCAAAGAGTTATTTTAATTTATAACTTGAATCACAGTAGGTAGCAAATTTTTGTTGAAATGTATTTTGAAATAGCTAATTAAGCAATAAATATTTAAATTTACTTAAGTTAGAGCTCTGATTATCTCAATTTTAAACTATTTCATCAGACAGGACTAGTCTAAAACAGTATCAGGGCCCCAAGAACAATTCTACATCTGCTAATAGATCTCCTAAATTATATATACTGATGTACCTGTGGGTATAAAATATATCTCTAAAGAACTGTTATAAAAATTCTGGCTTCATGCTCATTCACTCAATAAACATTAACTTACACCATGTATCAAGCACTATGCTAGGTGAAGAGATTCAGAGAAGAATAACATATGATCCCTGCCTTCAGTAGAGGCAAGGGACACTAAACACGTATGTAAACAGCATAACAGGAACCTCACAATTATCAGTGACAAAGTGAAATGATTACACAAACCAGAAATCTGGTAACACATATTTTCCTCAACTTTTCCTTCATTCCATTCTATATTTTATTTGTAATTAAGCCAGTTTTATTATTAACTTCAATATGTGGCCTCACACAGAGTATAAATCTTCAATTAATAGAAAAATAGTTCTTAAGTATCACAAATCAAGAAACTACTGAAGAACCATAAGTTCTTCAGTCCACAACCACTGCTAATAATTTAACATTATTAAAATTAAACTGTGTTTAGATTGTTTAATATTTATTATTTAATATTATTATATAATATTATAAAATATTATTAAATTAAAAATATTACATTTATTATTTAATATTTATATCTACTATTTTTTGTTATATTAGATCTGTGATGATTTAGCAAAATAAAGAAATATATTTTTATTATTTGCAAGTCTTTCCATAGAGAATGGTTTTAAAAAGAAATATTAAAATTGTTCATGGACTTCAAGTTTTCATGCTATTCTAATTGTCCATTAACACAAATAATCAATGTGTTGTTACCCTATTTATTGTACTTTTAAGGTAAAATGTGCAATTAGAATTTTGACGACTAAGTTAAAGATTCTGTTAACCAAAATTCAAATATTTGTTCATACAACTAGAGTCTTTAAAATCAGTTATGATCAGGAAGAAGAGAATAATCTTAGTTTCTATTAACAGTTGAGTGACAAAGACCTCTTGTCTTCCAAGGAACCACAGTAAGCTCTTAATAAAGGTGCGTTACAGTTCTTCATAGCAATCTATGAAAGAATAAAATAAAAAAGTTAAGGATAATCAATTACAACATCATTCAAATGTTATCATTTTACATTTGTTTAATGCTTTATAGTTTACCAAGTGCTTTCTTCATTTCCTCATTTATATACTCATGAAATATATTTTAGCCATGTAGCTGAGGACAGATAGTATCTTTCTCTTTTTTCAGATAAAGTGTACATGACTAATAAGTGCCATCCATTGCTTATAAGAACTTTTATTTTTCTTGCCTCCCTACTAATTGTTAACATCTGATGACTTGTAGACATAGGTACTTAAACAACTACTGTTGTACAGTCAGAGTACACTACATATAATTCCAAAATTTAGGTTAGATATACATTAAACCAAAAAGGTGCTCTGTATATTCACAAATAGAGCAATTTCTCCATTCTTAAATAGTAAAACTAGGAATTTTATTTTGCTTAATGAAAACTATGAGGGGTCACTAACTAAATAAACAGAAAAGAAGAGAAGAAAGCACGTTTAGCCCGACCATTACCTACTTTTTTAGTTTGATATGAAGCAATGGTAATAACATTTTTTGGCTCATGAATAGAAAATAATACACACAGATAAAAACTAAAAATTTACCAAAACATAAAGAAAAAAATTAAATCTACTATCATTCTAAAGATAAACATTCTAAAGACAGTGTCTTTCCTGTCAGTATCTGAAATAAATAACTTTATATAATTGTGTGCTCCTTCCCAAGCCTCTGACTTAATCCAGGTTGAGTATTTATTATCTGAAATGCTTGGGATCAGAAGTGCTTCAGATTCTGGATTTTTTCCATATTTTTGAATATTTGCATATGTACATAATGAGACATCTTGGAGATTAAACCTAGTCTAAACATGAAATTCATTTGTTTCATATACACCTTATACGATAGACTGTGGTAATTTTATACAACATTTTAAATAATTTTGTTCATAAAAGCCTGTAATCCCAGCTACTGGGGATGCTGAGGCAGAAGAATAGCTTGAACCTGCAGAGGGTGGATGGGGGAGGTTGCAGTGAGCGGATATCGCACCTTGCACTCTTGCCTGGGCAACAAGAGTGAAACTGTCTCAAAAAAAAAAAAAAAAAAAAAGTCTGTGTACATTGAATCACCAGAAAGCAAAGGTATCACTATTTCAGTCACTTATGTGGACAATCTGATTGTTTGGTGTACTATAATTCCTAACTCTGAATTTGTATGCTACCAATAAACAATCATTTTTAACACTTATTTACGCATAGTACTTGACGGTAAAAAAAATGACATACTATTAATCCAGTGAAAAAATTTGCTCAAGGTAACAGCACAGTAGCACCCCTGGAAAACCTGCATCAGCTCTTAAATGACAGCAACAACTAACAATTTTCAGTATCTACTTATGATGCTATGTTTTGATTAAGTAGTTACTGTAAACTGTACTGTATTTTTCTAGGTGAAATGGAACATCAGAAACAGTTAAGGGACCAGGAAGTGGGTACTGTAAGGATACAGAGGCATTTTGCTGGACAACTTTTAAAAATGTTTCCTCCAGAGTCATCTGACTCATTAATAACGGTTTTTGTCATAGAAATTTCTCTTTGATTTTATAACTAACATGATTTCTTGTTATGTTATGAACGTGTGCTTCTCCATTCTTATATGGTAAAGATAGGAATTTTATTGTGCTTAATAAAAACTCTAGATCTTCAATAAGCCCATCACACATTTTCACCATGTCTATAGGCGCTTTTTCTGCAGTGTTACAACATCATCCTCATCATCATTATTGCCATGATCACCTTAAACTAGAACCATTTTTTTCTATTTCATCATCCATTGATGAATGAATAGCTGGGGCCTCATTATTGATGTTAAAAATGTCAATTGGCCGGGCGCAGTGGCTCACGCCTGTAATCTCACCAATTTGGGAGGCCAAGGTGGGCAAAGCACTAGAGCTCAGGAGTTCAAGACCAGCCTGGCTAACATGGTGAAATCCTGTCTCTAACAAAAATACAAAAAATTAGCTGTACATGGTGGTACATGCCTATGGTCCCAGCTACTTGGGAGGCTGAGGTAAGAGGATGGCTTGAGACCAGGATGCAGAGTTTGCAGTGAGCCAAGATTATACTACTGCACTCCAGCCTGGGTGACAGAGTGAGACTCCATCTAGAAAAATACATACATACATACATACATACATACATACATACAAACTTCAATACTCACTTCTTCCAGCTTACTGACAGACTCTGAAAGTATATATTTTGCATATTTTAGGAGGTCAGACATAATTTTTTTCTCACTTGACATATGGAATCCTACCAAGTCACCACCTTGTTTTATCATTATCATTGAACAAGCCAGAGGTTGTGCCAGGTATGCACAACCATGTCTTTAGTAGCTATGTTCCAAGCACTGGCAACAGCATATATGGCATGCTTCACACTAAACTCCCTTTGAAAACTTTCCATTGTCATGTGCGGTGACTCACACCTGTAATCCCAGTGACTCAGGAGGATGAGGCAGGTGGATTGCTTGAGGCCAGAGGTTCAAGATCAGCCTGGGCAACATAGCAAGACTCCTGCCCATAAAAACTTGTTTATAAATTAGCTGGGCATAGTGGCATATGCCTGTACTCCCAGTTACTCAGGAAACTGAGGTGGGAGGATTACTTGAGCCTAAGATTTCAAGGGTACAGAGTGCCATGATTGGGCCACTGTACTCGAGCCTGGGCACAAGATCATGCCTTTTGCAGGGACATGGATGAAGCTGGAGGTCATTATCCTTAGCAAATTAATGCAGGAACAGAAAATCAAATACCACAAGTTCTGACTTAAAAGTGGGAGCTAAATGATGAGAACTCATAGACACAAAGATAGTATCAACAGACAATGGCGCTTACTTGAGGGTGGACTGTGCATGTGGGAAGAGGAAGAGGAGCAGAAAAAACAACTGTTGGGCACTAGGCTTAGTACCTAAGTGGTGAAATAATCTGTACAACAAACCCCCATGACACAAGTATACCTGCATAACTAACTTGCTCATGTATTCCCAAAACTAAAATAAAAAATTTAAAAAAGTTTATATTTACTCTTCATTGATCTAAGGATACTCTCATCACAGTCACATGGCTGAATTAATGAAGTCCCATTTGGGGGAAAGCATATGGAATAAATATTATTTTTTACAAAAACTGCTGGAGGATTAACAGAAGAGTTGTCAAGGAATAATAAAATATTTAAATCATCATCCAATCCAGAGTCCCTGCAGTGAGCATAAGCTACTGGTATAAAATGTTTGTGAGACCAATAGGAAAAAAAATATCCCTGGTTATTCAGGCCTCTTTGTTAGCATAATAATAAACTGGTAAGCAATTCATTCACTCCTTGAAAACAGTGAGGACACAAGCTTTTACCTAACATAGCAAGTTTACATTTATGTGTGCCTGCTGCACTAGCACAGCCCAGCATTGTTATTTTCTGTCCTTGGCATCCTGAATTCCCACAGGGGCTGCCTCATCCGCTGTAGTCAGTGTCTTTCTGAGGCAATAATGCCAAAACAATGATGTTTAATCAGCATTATCTACTTGTTCTGGCACCAGATTTTCATCAGCAATGACCTTGGCAAACTCATCAATGAATTTCTCTAATGTTTCATGATCAGCAGATGCTCAATCACCATAAATCTTTAAAAATTTAATGCCATTTTCTTCTTAAATTTCTGCAATCAGCCTGTTGAATATTGACAGGTCCCTTCAATTTTCATTTCATTGTGATAAATCTTCACTTGTTTCATGATCAGTATACCATTAAGTGGCATGTGTTCACTGTGAGGCAGATGGATCTATTCTTTCCCTTTTTTTAAATGCTATGCAGTGTTTTTCTATTTTTCATTAGCTTCTATTCATCACTTTCAGCATAGAACTCCAATAGTTTATCCATTTGTTTCTTTAGGTCATATCTGGCAGTCATCCCAAGAAGCATACGCTTCTTTAAGACCTTCACACTTAAAACATTGTCCAGTTTCTCCAATAGCTTGACTTTCTGTGTTATACATAAACATAAGTGACTCCTCTTTTTCTTATCACTGCTACTCACAGGGGTATCTGCAGGCCTTTTTGATATTTTCTTTGTTTTGTTTTTGTTATCCTAACCACTAGACCAAGCAGATAATAAGTAAAAAACAGTAATGCACATCCATCTTGGTCCTATGTGGGGCATCATGGAAACCTGCCATTGGCACAACCGACCCTGTGTCATTTTATTAACCCTTTGTGGGCATATTTGCATATAAGAATCTGGGAGTGCACAGAAATGATATACTATAGCTGAAAGGAGCTGGGAGGGTCTTTTTTCCCTTGAGGATGCTGAATAGACTGTGCTGAATACCTGCATTTTGATTGCAACCCATCACATAAGGTCAAGATGTAAAATTTTCCACTTGTGACATCACATTGGTACTCAAAAAGTTTCAGAATCTAGAACATTTAAAATTTTCAACTTTTGGGTTAGGGATGCTTAACTTATACTATATAATACATATGAAAAAATTTTCAAGGAAAAAATGTTTAATAATTAATAATATTCTACTCTGTGGAAAGCAAATAGTCTCTTCCTCTAATTATTGAAGTTCTACTCTACTTATAATTTCTCACTGATATAAATAAATAATACTCTAATGACCATTGTTGGACATAAATATTAGCTAACATTTCTGAAAAGTTCTTTCAGACAAATCTCTAGAAGTAGTATTACAGGATCAAAAGATATATGTTACAAACATTTCCAGTACAATTTCCTGCAAAGTATGTGAAATTTGTATTCCTACCAGCTGTTTAATAAGTTGTCTGTCTCATAGATCTCTAATTAGAAACGAGTTACATCCATTAAGATAAACAAAAATGTCTGCTTCTTTGACAGATATAAAACTATGGTTTTAATTTGTATTGCTTCCATTAATAATGAGGTTAACATTTTTGGTAACATCTATTAATCACCTTGATTTCCTTCCTTGGGTCATTTTCCATATTTCCATTGAGATTTCAATATTTTCCTATGAAATTACATGAGTTTTGTGATGACAGAAATTAGTATTTTGTCTGTCTGATATGGTTAGGCTTTGTCTCCCCACCCAAAAGTCATAATGAATTATAATCCCTATAATTCCCATGATCCCCACTTGTCCAGGCAGAGACCAGGTGGAGGTAACTGAGTCATGGGGGCGGTTTCCCCCACACTGTTCTCATGATGGTGAGTGAGCTCTCATGAGATCTGATTGTTTTATAAGTATGTGGTAGTTCCTCCTGCACTCCTTCTCCTTCCTGCTGCCTTTTAATAAAGGTGCCTTGTTTCCCCTTCTCCTTCTTCCATAACTATACATTTCCTGAGTGCTCCCCAGCCATATTGAACTGTGAGTCAATTAAATCTCTTTCCTTTATAAATTGCCCAGTCTTGGGTAGTTCTTTTTAGCAGTACAAAAACAGACTAATACACTGTCATTTTTTATAAATTTTTCCTATCTTTGCCTTTTACTTGCTTTTGACATACCAAAGTTTAAAATTTGTGTTTCATAAAATCTCTCAATATTTTCCTGGTGATTTATTCCACCTCTTTCATTATAAGAAAGGTAATAATATTTTTGAAGTCTTTTGCCACATTACTTTAACTATATATATATTTGTATTAGTCTGTTCTCATGCTTCTAAGAAAGACATACCTGAGACTGGGTAATTTATAAAGTAAAAAGGTTTAATTAACTCACAATTCCACATGGCTGGGGAGGTCTCACAGTCATGGCAGAAGGTGAATGAGGAGCAAAGTCATGTCTTACATGGCAGCAGGCAGAAAGAACATGTGCAGGGGAACTCCCCTTTATAAAACCAACAGCTCTTGAGAGACTTATTCACTACCAGGAGAAAAGTATGAGGGAAACTGCCCCTATGATTCAGTTATCTCTGCCTGGTCCTGCCCTTGACATGTGGGGATTATTATAACTCAAGGCAAAATTTGGGTGGGGACACAGCCAAACCATATCATTCTTCCCCTGGCCCCTGCCAAATCTCATGCCCTCACATTTCAAAACCAATCATTCCTTCCCAACAGTCTCCCAAAGTCTGAACTCATTTCAGCATTAACTCAAAAGTCCACTGTTCAAAGTCTCATCTGATACAAGGCAAGTCACTTCTGCCTATGAGCCTGTAAAACTGAAAAGCAAGTTAGTTACTTACAATACAAATGGGGTACAGGCATTGGGTAAATACACCCATTCCAAATGGGAGAAATTGGCAAAAATGAAGAAGCTACAGGCCCCATGCAAGTCCAAAATCCAGCAGGACGGTCAAATCTTGAAGCTTCAAAATGATCTCCTTTGACTCCATGTAGAAGGAGATCACGTACATACAGGTCACACTGATGCAAGAAGTGGGCTCTCACAGCCTTGGGCAGCTCTGCCCCTGTGCCTTTGCAGAGTACAGCCCCCCGCACCCCACAGCTGCTTTTAAGGCTGGCATTGAATGTCTGTGGCTTTTTCAGGTGCACAGTTCAAGCTGTTGATGGCGCTACCATTCTGGAGTAGGAAGAATGGTGGCCCTCTTCTCACAGCTCCACTAGGCAATGCCCTGGTGCGGACTCTGTGTGAGGGCTTGTGCCCCACATTTTCCTTCCACACTGTCCTAACAGAGGTTCTCCATGAGAATCCCGGCCCTGAAGCAAACTTCTACCTGGATATCCAAGCATTTCCATACATCCTCTGAAATTTAGGTGGAGGCTCCCAAACCTCAATTCTTAACTTCTGTATACCTGCAGGCTCAACACCACATGGAGGATGCCAAGGTTTGGGGCTTAGACTCTCTGAAGCCATAGCCCAAGCTGTACCTTGGCCACTTTTAGCCATAGCTGGAGCAGCTGGGATACAGAGCACCAAGTCCCTAGGCTGCACACAGCAAGGTGGCCTAGAAAACCATTTTTTCCTCGTATGCCTCTGGGCCTGTGATGGAAGGGGCTGCCACAAAGGTCCCTGACATGGCCTGGAGACATTCTCCCCATTGTCTTAGTGATTAACATTTGCCTCCTTGTTACTTATGCAAATTTCTCCAGCCAGCTTGAATTTCTCTCCAGCAAATAGGCTTTTCTTTTCTATTGCATCCTCAGGCTACAAATTTTCCAAAATTTTATGTGGCACTTCCTCTTGAATGCTTCACTACTTAGAAATTTCTTCCCCCAGATACCCTAAATCATCTCTTTCAAGTTCAAAGTTTCACAGGCCTCCAGCCAGGGGTAACATGCTGACAGTCTCTTTACATAGCAAGAGTGACCTTTATTTCAGTTCCCAAAAGTTCCTCATCTCCATCTGAGACCACCTCAGCCTGGATCTTATTGTCCAGATCTTATTATCACTATCAGCATTTTGGTCAAAGACATTCAACAAGTCTCTAGGAAGTTTCAAACTTTCCCATATCTTCCTGTCTTCTAAGCCCTCCAAACTGTTCCAACCCCTTCCCGTTACCCAGTTCCAAAGTCAATTTCATATTTTCAGGTACCTTTATGGTAACACCCTACCCTACTGGTAAAATTTACTATATCACACTATTCTCAGCTGTTAATAAAGACATACCTGAGACTGGGTAATTTATAAAGGAAAAATGTTTAATTGACTCACAGTTTCACATGGCTGGGGAGGCCTCACAGTCATGGCAGAAGGCAAATGAGGAGCAAAGTTACATTTTAAATGGCACCAGGCAAGAACATGTGCAAGAAAACTCCGCTTTACAAAACCATCAGATCTTGTGAGACCTACTCACTACCAAAAGCACTGGATGGGGGAAACCACCCCCATGATTCAATTATCTCCACCAGGTCTCCCCCACCTTGACATGTGGGGATTCTTACAATTTAAGGTGAGATTTGGGTAGGGACACAGCCAAAACATGTTAATATTTATTAGAATAATCTCTATAATAAAATGATTCCATATTTTTCATTATTTCATTTTCAAAAACAGTTCCTTTATCACTTGAATAAAAATAAGTTTTACACAGTGTAGTGTTTAAAAGTTAAAGAGACAATCATCTTGTAACCATCAGAGTAATAATTACTTCAAATAAGAGTCATCAATTAATTCTAAAATCAATGGGTACAAGTTTGATGAGTATCGAGTTATTTATATATTCTCAAAATAACTCTCCATAGATTAGTAACTTATTAACAACAAAAGAAAATCTGAATTTATGGTGAAGAAATGGATCAAAGTTAACATCACCAAGTATGAGGAAATGGAATTATGTGTCTCCTGATGTGATGTACTAAAAAGGATACTTCTTAGAGTATTAATGCCAAATACACATAGATGAAATTAATCAAGAGAAAGCAATCACAAACACTGAGGAATTTCTATTTTAAAAATTGACCTTATGCTTCAAAACATCGGTATCAGGAATAAAAGGCTGAGAAACTTTTCCACTTCAAAGGAGTTTTTGAAAAATGACATTAAATATAATGTATGATCCTGATTGGACTCTATATCAGGAAATAAATGCTATAAAGAACATTGTTAGGACAATTTTAAAAAATTGAGTATGGGATACATATTATAAAATGGTATTGCATATTTGATATGAGAATGTGTAAATAACCCAATCCTCATCAAACTTTAACCCATTGATTTTTCAATAATATTGCATCAGTAGGTACTGAAATTTATTCTCAAATGGTTCAATAAGCATAATAAAGCTAATAATGTGTATATGTGTGTAAAGTATGTACACAGAGAAAATACATGGGAATTCGCCATGTTATTCTTGCAACTTTCCCTGAGTTTGAAATTTTTTCTCAACAAAAAGTTAAAAAATAATGCTGGGCATGTTTTGTATGATACACACACATATAAATTACCTTTAAAGGATCCACAAGTTCCAAGGTATGTTTTAAGTATATTAAATTTGTTATCTTTGATTCAGCAGCATTGACCTGTTAAGATAAAAACCCAAATTTGGATGGACAACGTAAATATTTAATACAATAATGGGTTTTCCTCTTGAACATTCTTACTCTTTGCATATTCCATATATTTATATATATATCAGCCTAGCCACAAGGCAAGCCTAAAGGATGATAAAAAAAATTACTGACCCACCATAATAAACCTAGTACACTAGTTTCCCAAAAGTCTGAAAATGCGAAGAATTTATCTCATTGTATCCAATTTTCATTCATATTTCAATCTCTTGGGTTCAATTTAAACTGAATAGCAAAAGAAGATGCAGTTCCATCCTGAGCAGCACCAAAAGACTAACATTAACAGAAAAAGGCACAACAAGTATTTGTATATAGATGATATTTTAAAAGGTTGAATCCAAACCTTCCAGATAGTTACAAAACAACAGGGATTTCCCTCACTGATTCCTGTTTGTGCAAGTAAAACTATTTTCATAACTCTACTAGTCTTAATTATAGTTTTTCAAAATAAAGCAACATCAACATTCCAAATTTTATTAATAAACTTTATACAAATTAAATTGCACTCTAGAGTTGAGGAATGGTGCCAAACCTGGAGAAATGTGGAATGTTCCTATACCTGGACTAATTTACCAATGCTGAAAGATGAAGTGGAGTTTTAGGATACTACAATTATAATGTACTTGATATGAAAATGTTTCTTTTTTTTTCTTTTCTTTTTTTATAGAAATGGGGTTACACCATGTTGGCCAGGCTGGTCTCAAACTTTTGACTTCAGGTGATCCACCCACCTCGGCCTCTCAAAGTTCTAGGGTTACAGGCATGAGCCACTGTGTCCAGTCAGATGTTTCTTTTTGAGATACTCCAGTCTATAGTCCCTCTGCACAATACCTGGACTGTTCTATGACCATATGCATCAATTTAGAAAAAATAACATAATAGGCCGGGCACGGTGGCTCACGCCTGTAATCCCAGCATTTTGGGAGGCCGAGGCGGGTGGATCACGAGGTCAAGAGATCTAGACCATCCTGGTCAACATGGTGAAACCCCGTCTCTACTAAAACTACAAAAAATTAGCTGGGCATGGTGGCACGTGCCTGTAATCCCAGCTACTCAGGAGGCTGAGGCAGGAGAATCGCCTGAACCCGGGAGGCGGAGGTTGCGGTGAGCCGAGATCGCGCCATTGCACTCCAGCCTGGGTAACAAGAGCGAAACTCCGCCTCAAAAAAAAAATAATAATAACATAATAAATGTTGTTAGCCCCAAAATGGGATATGTCATATTCTCTTACAATGGATCTCTGAAACTAACTGGAAGATTAAAAATAAATAAAATTCACTAAACAGAAAACAGCTGTCATCACTATCACTAAAGGAGAATAATTCATGCTGGGTGCAATGGATCATGTCTGTAATCCTAGCATTTGGGGAGTCTAAGGCAGGAGGATCACTTGAGTCCAGAAGTTTGAGACCAGCTTGGGCAACAGAGCAAAACCTGCCTCTATAAAAATAATTTAAGAAATTAGCTGGGTGTGGTGGCACATGCCTGTGGTCCAGCTACTCAGAGGCCTAGGTGGAAAGATCACTTGAGTCCAAGAGTTTGAGACCAGGCAGGACAACATGGCAAAACCCTGCCTTTACAAAAAGAATTTAAGAAATTAGCTGGGTGTGGTGGCACATGCCTGTGGTCCAGCTACTTAGAGGCTGAGGTGGGAGGATCACTTGATCCCAGGAGGTTGAGCCTGCAGTAAGCCATTATCACACCACTGCACTCCAGCCTGGGTGACAAAGTGAAACCCTGTCTCAAAAAAGGGCGAGGGGATAATTCCAAAAATAGTTAACACACCACTGAAGAAGAACAAGGTGGAAAGTGTAACTGTAATGAATGTTAACTTCTAATAAAATTATAGTAATTAAGAAATGATGGTATTGACATAAGAACAGAGAGTCCAATGGAACAGAATAAAGAGTCTAGAAACTGACCCAAGCATATATATTGGCACTTCATTTATGACAGAGGCTAACGGCAGAACAGTGGGGAAAGTAGTGTCTTTTCCAAAAATAGTACCAGTAGAATTATGAATCCATATGGGAAAAGAAAGAAACATTGCCCTTCCCTCACCCTACACACAAAAAATAATTCCAGATGGATTGTAGATCTAAATATAAACGGTAAAACAATAAAATATCTGGAATTAATAAAGAAGAATATCTTCATGGCCTTATGTGTTCTAAATAACTTTTGCAGATTTTGTAATTGATGATTTGGCATCCATTAATCACATAGTGAAACTAACAGCTAAAGTTGTTTACATCTCCCTTACAGTCTGGCTTTTATCGGCATGTGAAAATCATATTACAAACCCTCTAATCACAACTTCAACATCTATGTTTTACTTCCTGCCCAACAGGCACTGCCCAATACCTAGCAACTTCCTGGCATTGTAGTAATAAGGATTTTTGCCCCTGTTTCTCCTTGCTCCTTCTGCCTCTCAACCAACCCTAGTACTTCCCCAGGTGGTCCTGCCTGGCATGCCCTCTCCTCTTGGGAACTATAAGTAATAAACAATGGCATTAGTGTCTCCAGGTTATCATTCAATCACCCGCATAAATTAAAATTCCATAGTACAATGAAGACATTAGAGTAGGTAAATACTTATTATGCAGGACATAGCAAACACTAACTATGAAGGAAAAAACTGATAAACTAGATCCATTTGAATTAAGAATTTCTATTCATCAAAAGATATTACTAACTCAAGAAAGGTTCTCCAAAAGCCAACTGTGAGAAACTAGAATTTGAGAGCAAATAATTTATTTTAAAAAGTAATTCCAGCAAAAACAGGCAAGGCAGTGAGGAAGTAAGACAAAGGAGAAAAGGATATCAATACAGGAGACATTAATGATCAAGTTACCAAATTGTCTCCATCTCTCAGATGTCTCCATCTATGCTCTGATTGTCTCCATCTGAGAGATGGAGACACCTGAGTGATGACATAGAGTAAGTTTCAGAAGCTATCACCAGAGGTAAGGAAAATGGGGTATTTATTCATCAACTCTTATTCAGTACTGGTTAAGAGCTGCTGCCAGGGTATCAACTCCCTAATACCTTCCAGCCTCTCTTATGGCCAGAGAAAGTCTTCAGAAAGAGTCTCAGCTGCTTCAAGCAAGAAGTCTTCCTGCACAAAAGTGAATACCAAGACAATGTGGGTAGCACACCAACAGCATCTATCCCACAATACTCAGTACAAAAGTAAACTACCAAGTGGGAGGAAATATTTGCAACACACATAACCAAAAAGGGCTTACATCTAATATGTGAAAATAATCTCTACAAATCACAAAAGCAGATAATCCCAAAAGAAAAATGAGTAATAATTCTGAACAAGGCTTTCATAAAAGAAGATATTCAAATGGTCAATATATACATGAAAGGATGTTCAACCTCATTAATAAGAAAATGCAAATTAAAACCACTGTTTAGCCGGGCGCGGTGGCTCAAGCCTGTAATCCCAGCACTGTGGGAGGCCGAGGCGGGTGGATCACGAGGTCAAGAGATCGAGACCATCCTGGTCAACATGGTGAAACCCCGTCTCTACTAAAACTACAAAAAATTAGCTGGGCATGGTGGCGTGTGCCTGTAGTCCCAGCTACTCAGGAGGCTGAGGCAGGAGAATTGCCTGAACCCGGGAGGCGGAGGTTGCGGTGAGCCGAGATCGCGCCATTGCACTCCAGCCTGGGTAACAAGAGCGAAACTCCGTCTCAAAAAAAAAAAAACCACTGTTTATCAAAATGCTATAGCTAAAATTTTAAAACTAGCAATATCAGGTTTGGGGAAGACAAATGGGAGTTCTCACACATTGATGATGGGAGGATAAATTGATAAATCATTGTGAAAAACATTTTGGCATTATCTACCAAAGTTGAATATATGCATACCCATGACCCAGAAATTCCACTAACTATATACCCAATAAAAACATATGTACAATTACATAAAGAGATGTGTACAAGATTGTTTAGCAGTATTATTTCTGATTGCAAAAACTGTCAGCAACTCAAAAGTCCAGCAATAATGAAATAAATAATTGCATATTCATATACAGTGGAATGTTATATAGCAATGAAACAAATGAGCTAAATATACATGCAGCAACATGGTTAAATCTCACAAATATAATGCTGACTTGAAGAAGTCAGGCATAAAACATATGCATTGAATAATTCCTTTATATATAAAGTTTTTAATAGATCAGGTCAAACTAAATTATAAACAAAAGGAAATGATTACTAAAATTGGCTTCTTTTTAGAGACAGGTGGAAAATAATGGATGGGAAGGAGAAGAAGGGGAATTTTTGAGGTATTGGTGATAACTATCTCTTTACATGAGTGGTTGTTACATGAATGTTCACTTTGTGATAAATCAATGAGCACTATCTTTTTATTTTGTACAGATTTCTGGATTGTATGTTCTTTCTCATTAGTTTAAGAAAAGGCTAAAAATGATAATAAACAGAAAGGTAGAAAGAAAAGAGTACTCTTATGGAAGAAAAAAGAAGAAAATGGGAAATGAGTGTGTTCATCTGTGTCAAATTTTGCTGCTAGGTCAAGCATGACGAGCACTCCCATTAACCACTGGATTTAGCAATGTGGAAATCGTTGGTGGCCTTGAGAAAAGGAGCATAATTAGATACACCAATTACAGATAATCCTTCCAGTGGAGTGGTGAAGGTATGAATGGAGTGAGTTTGGAGAGAAAAGGAACATAATTAGATATGCCAATTACATATAATCCTTCCAAAAAAATATTGCTTTACAGAGAAACAGAAGAAAAGTAGAGGAGGAAGTAAAAACAAACAAAAAAAGTCACTTTATTTTGTTTTAATGAAGTGATAATAACAAGTTTGTATTTCTCTTTGACCTAGGTATCTTGTGCCTTGTGTCAGCATCTATGAAACTGTGGCAGGCTAACTAGTTAGTTTGCAAGTAGGGTAGAATCTCAGATCCCTTAC